CATCAGGAAACATAATAATAGAGTTTCCAAGAGTCTAAGACAAGAAAAAAATAATGTAACTGATAAGGGCGAAGAAACAGATAATGTATAAAGAAACACCAATCAGGCTGACACCAGCCATCTCCAAAAATATGAAAAAGCAGTATAGGTAATAGAATGGAGTGACATATTTAACAAACTCCAAGCAAACAAATGCCAATGAAGAATATCTCCCTCCTGTGAAGGAAAGGGAAATCAATGAAGGAAAAATAAGGACTTTCTCAGGCAAAAAGAATCTCCAGAAATTCATTACTATTAAACCCCCACTCCATAAAAATACTGTGAAACAGGGCCTCCCTGGTGGCGCGGCGGGTTGAGCGCCACACTGTAAAGCTGTCCGCAGACTCTGCAGTGCGGGCTCCAACCTGGCCAGAGGGTGAGAATCCCACATGTTGTGGTAGAACTCTCCTGTTGCGCCCGCTGCTCCCCTCAGCAGTGTATTTCTGTTACCTGCCTGTTCTGCTCCCTGCTCTACCTCTGGTGAATCCTCTCACCCTCCTGCGCCTCTGGCCTATACCCCAGCTCTTGTATAAAAATAAATAAATCTTTAAAAATAAAAAAAACTATAAAACACCCTAAAGCCAAAAGCAACAAAGGAATGAATAGGAAGAACAGAAGGTAAGTAACAGACTCACAAAAAGGCAAACAAATTGGCAAATATGAATACCAAAGTGTCAATATTAACTCTAAATGTAAATGAATTAAACTCATCAATAAATAAAGACACAGGAGCAAGATGTATTAGAAAATAGAACCCAATCTTTTGCTGTCTTCAGGAATCACAAACTACAAAAGATAAACATATATTGAAAGTGAAAGGTGGGAAAACAATCCTTTAGGCAAATGGACGAAAAAAGAAGGGAGAAATAGCTATACTTAGATCAGATAAAACAGACTTAAAACTCAAAAGGTAAAAAAGAAACTAGATGGTCAGTATATTATGACTAAGGGAATAATAACATCAGGGAGATATAAGACTCCATCAATATATACTCACCAAAAGGAGGAACACCAAATACATTGGACAATTATTATCAACTCTGAAAACAGCTATTAGAGAAAATACCCATGTAGCAGAAGACTTCAACACCCTACTCTCACCAATGGACAGATCAATGAAACAAGAAATAAACAAGGACACTAGAGGTCTAAACAAGGACCAAGACTGCATGGGCTTAACAGATAGCTATAGGACATGGCACCCCAAAAATCTGAGTACACATTTTTCTCAAATGCATATGGATCATTCTCCAGGATCGATCACACTGGGACACAAGACAAATATCAACAGATAGAGTAAGATCTCCAATCATAAAGGTATTAAACTTGAAAGAAACTGTGAAAAGAGAGTAAGGAACCTTCCTACTTCATAGAACTTGAAACCCACACTGCTGGAAGACCACTGGATTAATGAAGCTATCAAAGAAGAAATAAAAAATACCTTGATACGAACAAGGACACAACTTTCCAGAATGTATGGGACACTGCAAAAGCAGTAGTAAGAAGAAAGTATACAGCAATAATGACCCACATCAACAAACAAGAAAGAATTCAAAGAAACAACCTATTCTCCTATCTGAAAGAACTAGAAAAAAAACATTCCCCCCCAATGCCAATATAAAATTGGAAATTATAAAAAAGCAGAAATAAAATGAATTGGAAGCCAAAAAAAAAAAAAAAAAAAAAAAAAAAAACCAAAACATCAGCATATCAAAAGTTAGTTCTACGAAAAAATAAACAAAATAGACCAACCTCTAACCAGGCTCACAAACATAAAACAGGAGAAGACACAAATAAATAGGATCATAAATGAAAGAGGAGAAAGTACAATAGACACAGCAGAAATCAAAAGAATAATCAGAGATTACTAAGAAGAGTTATATGCAAACAAGTTCAACAATCTGGAAGAGATGGATAAATCCCTACAACTATACAATCATGCAAGGCTGGATAAAGAAGAAACAGAACACCTAAACAGACCAATTATAAGCAGTGAAACTGAAACAGTAATCAAAACCCTCCCCCAAAACAAAAGCCCAGGACCAGACTGTTTTACACGTGAATTCTACCAAATGTTCAGAAACAAACTGGTGCCTAGCCTACAACAAACTCTTTCAAAAAACTGAAAAAGAATAATGTCAATTATGTTTTATGATGCCAACATTACACCAATATCAAAACCAAGCAAGGACAACACAAAAAACTAAAGGCCAATCTCTCTAGTGAACACTGATGCAAAAATCCTTAACTAACAGAATCCAAAATCAAAAAGATATTACACCATGACCAATACGCAATTAATGTAATACAACACATCAACAAAAAGAAAAACAGAACCATAGGAGCCTATCAGTAGATGCTGATAAAGCATTTGACAAAGTTCAATATCCAGTTATGATGTAGGCTCTCGAAATCCTCGGGATAGAAGGAGCATACCTTAACATAATAAAAGCTATATACAACAAACCCACATCCAATATTATTCTCAATGGTGAAAAACTGATAGTCTATCCTGTAAGACTGGAACAAGACAAGGATGTCCTCTCTCACTATTGCTTTTCAATTTAATTCAGGAAGTCCTAGCAAGAGCAGTAAGAAAAGAAAGACATACAAGTAATCCAAATAGGGATAGAAGTAGAACTATCACCATTTGCAGATGATGTAATATACATACAGAATCCTAGAAAGTCCACAAAAAAACTAATCAAAATTATAGACCAATTTAGTAAACTACCAGAATACAAATCAACACACACGGATCATTAGCCCTCCTATACGCAACTAATCAATCTGAGAAGAAATTAAGAAAACCAAACTTTTTACAATTGAAACAACAACAGAAAAACCCAAACACTTGAGAACAAATCTAACAAAAGAAATGAAGGGCCTACACACAAATAACTAAGAAACACTGTTAAAAGAAATAGAAAAAGACACAAAGAAATGGGAAGACATTTCCTGCTACTGGATTGGAGAATTAACATCAAAATGCCCATCCTACCAAAAGTGTGTACCTATTTAATGCTATTCCAATAAAAATTTCAGTGTCATTCTTCAAAGAAATAGAGCAAATATTGATGAAATTCATATGGAGCCACAAAAACCTCCAATAGCCAAAGCTCTCCTATTTAAAAAGGAGAATCGAGGCATAACACTTTCAGACTTCAAACTACACTCCAAAGCCATAAAATTAAAATAGTATGATACTGGAACAAAAACAGATACACAAATCAATGGAACAAGGACAGTTTGTTCAATATATGGTGCTGGGAAAACTGGACTATAACATGCAAAAGAAAGAAACTAGACCACTATCTCTCATCATGGTCCAGTATTCCCAGCACCATTTATTGAGCAAACTGTCCATGTTCCATTTCATACTGTTTGTTCCTTTGTCAAAGATTAGTTTTCCATAAATATGTGGGTTTATCTGGGTTTTCTATTCAATTCCATTGGATATAAGACCAGAAACCAAAAAAATATATAGAAAAAATATAGGCAAAACACTACCTGTTATATATACATCTCAGTAACGTCTTTAAAAACTCATCCTCCAAACCAAAGTAAGTGAAGGAAAAGATAAACAGCTGGGATTAAACAAACTAAAAGGTTTCTATACAGCGAAAAAGACATTAACCAAAACAGAGACCCTATTGATTGGGGGAAAATTTCTGCACTCCATACAACTAAGGGACTAATCTCAAAGATATACAAAGAACTCACACGACTCATCAAAAACAAAGTAAATAATTCAGTCAAAAAATGGGCAGCTCTACAAAAGACACGCCAAAGCAGAAATGCAAATGGCCAACAGGCACATGAAAAAATATTCAACATCACTTATGATCAGGGAAATGCAAATCAAAACTGCAATGAGATATCACCTTCCACCAGTGCGAATTGCAAATATTAAAACTAGCAACAACAATGTGGAGAAAAAGGATCTCTCCTACCCTGCTGGTATGAATGCAAACTCGTCCAACCACTATGGAAAGCTGTGTGGAAGGGTCTCAAAATACTAAAAATGGAGCTACCACATTACCCAGCAATTTCACTCCTATGAATCTACCCAAAGCACACAAAAACATTAATTCATACCTCCACCCCTATGTTTATTGCAGCACTATTTACAAAAGGTAAGTTATGGAACCAATCCAAAAGCTTGTAATAGATGACTGGATCAAGAAGATGTAGTATATATACACAATGGAGTACTACTCAGCAGTCACAAAAAATAAATTTGTGCCATTTGAGGCAACGTGGATGGAGCTGGAAAGGATTATGCTTAGTGAAATAAGTCAAAGGGAAAAGAAAACTACTGGATGGTTTCACTTATAGGAGGAATAGAGGGGAATCAAATAACGAATCAGAGAAAAAAAATAGTAATAAATTAAAAAAAAAATTAACGGGCAACTATAAATCAGAGACATTCTGCACAGGAGGGACATAGGAAAGGAAAAGGAAAAGAATTCAAACAAGGAGGGAAGAACACAATGGATTATGATGATGGTGCATGGGTGAACTGGTGGTGGAATTTTACCAGGACTACACCTAAGAGGAGAAAGCAAACATTGAACAAGAAATAATGATGTAATGTAACTATATATGAATTTAAAAAATTAACATGATTTGTACATGTTTCTGATATATAAAAACAGTAAGAGAATACAAAGTAGTTGTTGTTTACAGTAATTAAGTACCAATGTGTACTTAGCAAATAGAGGGTTAAGTTCCAAAGAGTATATTCATCAACTGATCTAGCCTTGCTAGAGAGCAGCTGGCCATTTCAACTTTAATGAAGTCATATATACAACAATACATATTAAAAATTTGCCTTTAAACACAATCCCATATAAAACATGATAATGTACAAACCCTTAAATTAAAGTGAAGCTTTGTCACTGAGATTTTGTGACAAATTAACTTTAATATGTAATTTTGAAAATAACAAACCAACACACTTTTGGAGACCGAGGATCCAAGGAACGGGCAAATAGCTCATCTTCAGCCAACTGAGCATTTGTGGAAATAGATTCACATGGACGCGCACCATTGTAGATATGGAATTTGCAATGAGGATTGAGGGCCATGGCGAGAAGTTCGAGAAGTGGAAACCAATCTTGGGACAACTTGGCCACACAAAGTTCTATTAAGCGGTGTGTATTATTGATAATACATCTCTGTTGTAAGGGAATAGAGGTGATATGTAGATAGAAATCATTGTAATTTCAAACACAGAAACATTCTAACCTGGTTATAACCACCTCTCCACTTTTCTATTTTGCAACAGAATTCTTCTTAAATAAAAATATTATAATCAGACTCACACATGTTGAAAATAAATCAGTACATATTTGCAATGTAATTTGTACCTAACTACATAGGCTATGTAAGAGGGATTATATGGAAAGCAGCATCATAGGGTATCTGCTTATCTGCTTTTGCTCTATCCAAAAGATATATGTAAATTACCATTTTTCTGTCTTTGAAATTTGTACTCTTGAGGTAATTATTCCAAATCCAAACACAGTTATATCAGTTATCCAAGATAGGGAGATCTTTAAGACATAATCAGATTGTTTCTGGAGTATTTCTGTAGCTAGAAATTACCAGTCATTTTAGATAATACTAGAATTTATGTGACAGTTATTTTGAGAGAAATGTCCAAATCATACGTTTTTGGTTGAAGTCCACAAAAAGATGTCTTCTTTTAAACTTCTCAATAATTCCATTTTATAAATTAGGACCAATGATTTGGAGTAAAGTAGTTCAATGATTCCAGTACAATGCTATTTTTTCACTTTTAAAACTTCTGGGAACACGAAAATATTTTAGAGTCAATAGTAGTAAGTGTTTGTATTACAAAGAATGAAGGTATTTCCAAAGAGTACCCATACTTCCTCCTGCAGTTACCTGAAGATACTGCCAACCTCTGTACATACGAAATTTTGATTGAGCTTTTTGATTTGCATGCGAAATTAAAACTAGTTTGAATTCATATCATCAAGTTTCAGAAATACTGGCTTATGGTTTAAACTTCCAGGTAACTTTTTTTCTCTCTACCACTTGCCATAGTCAATAAGTTTGTAAGATTTGTGCTTATTATCATTTCTAGTTGCTGAGTGTATTTATGAGTTACATTTGCAGTGAAATTACACATTTGGGTGTGTCCCAGCTATATCGCAAGTCACCTTTCTGGACATTTTTCTCTCTTAATGCTACAGATCTCCCCACCTTGGGTAACTGAGAGAATATGGTAGTTTACATATATCTTTTGGACACTGAACAGAAACAGATACTGACAGTGCTTCCTTCCTTTGTAACTCAAAAAACATGTGATTCAAATGTGCCTCAAAACCAGCAACATTACAAATTCGATGAAATAAACAGTCTTAAATAAAGCCACAGATGCTTGGGATTCCAAGTGTCAGGCTAAAGATTTCAAACCTCAAAATTTCAAGCTCATCCTAAGAAACTACCAAAAGATCTACAATTGTATCATATGTATCATATGTAGAATTAATGTATTATTCACAACTGTTTTCCAGATAAAACCCCTTCAAGGGGTCACCAATTGTACGAGTCCTCAAAATAAAATCCAAGACTCACATGAATTTCAAACTTCCAGCCACTAACTGCCTCATCCATAAGGATTTTAGTGAAAGATACTGTTAGCCCATCTCGAACAAAACGCTGACATGCTTCACTTTTAATATCAAGACCTAAGAGAAGATTAAAAAAGAATTAAAAATTTTAACAAAGAACACTTTTCTCAGCCAATTATGTCATTAAAAATAACTATCAGAAACTGTTGAGTGCCCTTGTCAAGTCTTACAGTATTACAGTTTTCAATAAGACACATTATCAGAAGGAAAATATGGAATTCAGAAAAGTGAAATAGTACATGCAATGAATTTTAGAAACATGAATTGCACAAAACTACATCAAGTAAAGTAATGACCAATCAAAAATGATAAAGATATGATATGGGACTTTTTTTTTTTAAAAAAGATTTATTTATTTCTACAAGAACTGGGGTATAGGCCACATTCTCGGGAGGTTGAGAGGATTCACCAGAGACAGAGCAGGGAACAGAACAGGCAGACTGAACAAATACACTGCCTAAGGGAGCAGCGGGTGCGACAGGAGAGTTTTGCTGTGCCATGTGGGACCCTCACCAGGCAGCCGGGATTAAACCAGTGCTGCAGAGGCTGTGGACAGCTTCAGAGTGCTGCGCTCAACCGCCTGTGTCACCAGGGGAGGCCCTGATATGGGACTTTTAATGAAGAAGTATTACTTCAAAACATTTCAGATCATTTTATTCAAAGATGGTTAATAGTCAACCTTAAAATGTTAAAATTTCATTTTACTGTAAGTTCAATTTACTCCATATTTAAGATAACTTATTTTACTATGATAATTAAATTATCATTTCTCTAATTACTCTAATTTACTATTGGCATCTAAGCAATCTTTACTTCTTTTTAATTTCATCTGATTTAAGAAAAGTAACATGCCTTTATAAGAAAACTTTTTTTTTTAAAAAAGATTTATTTATTTATGCATACAAGAGCTGGTGCACAGGCTGGGGATTTGGGGAAGGTGAGGGGGGGATGAGAGGATTCACCAGAGACAGAGTGGGGAACAGAACAGGCAGACTGACTGAAATACACCACTGAGGGGAGCAGCAGGTGCGACAGGAGAGGTCTGCTGCGCCATGTGGGTTGCTCCCTGGTTTGGCTGGGGATCGAACTTGGCTGCAGAGGCTGCGGATTGCTTCATAGTGTGGTACTTAACCCCTTGAACCCCCAGGGAGGTCCCTTTACGTATTTATCGGTATTTTTTTTTTTTATAGAGGCATGCTTTATTTATTTATTTATTTATTTGTTTGTTAGTTTGTTTTGTTTATACATGCACTGGGTACAGTCAGAAGCACGGGAGGGTGAGAGAATTCACCAGAGCCAGAGGGGAGAGCAGAGCAGACAGACTGGGGAGGTACACTGCTGAGGGGTGCAGCGGGCGGTGGCAGGAGAGGTCTGCGCGCCATGTGGGACCCTCCTCCGGTGGCCGGGGAGCAGCCGGGGATCGAACCAGAGCCACAGAGGCTGCGGGCAGCTTCGCAACCCAGCGCTCAACCGCTGCGCCACCGGGGAGGCCCTTTATTGATATGTTTTTTAAGCTCATAACTTTCCTTAAAAGTCTTAAATTTTGCTTTATAGTAACTATAATCCAAGAAGAAAATGTGTAAGGAAAAAATACTTGGTAAATGATACACAAGTACTGAAACGCAATGCTATTAAATAAAATAGCATTTTCAATTTATGTTGATTTTGTAAATATAATTTAAAACATGCTTAGTACATAAGTCCTTCAATTCAATAAATATTAGAAGAAACATAAGTGATTGAGAAATAATTACAGTCTGGTACAACATTTCCACAGGTCAGTTGATTGTAGTATTTGAAAGTAAAATATAATAAAACATTCTTTAAATGACAGTAGGATAATTATGTTAAATGAAACTATTACTCTTGCACTGGAGACAGACAGGTTTGAAACAACACAAAGATGTCATAAGACATCCAATGACACTGGTGCTGTATATGGCCAACCCCATTTCTTTTATTTTTTTAAAAAAAGATTTATTTTTTATTGATAGATACATACATACATACATACATACAGGAACTGGGGGTACAGGCCAGATTGGCAAGAGGGTGAGAGTATTCACCAGAGACAAAGCCGGGAACAGAACAGGCAGACTGAACAAATACACTGCTGAGGGGAGCAGCGGGCGAGGCAGGAGAGATCTACTGCGCCATGTGGGATTCTCATGAGCAGGCCGGGATTAAAGCCACGCTGCAGAGGCTGTGGACAGCTTCACAGCATGGTGCTCAACCGCCTGCACCACCAGGGGAGGCCCCCAACCCCATTTGTAATCCTTGATGAATGACCCAGAAACAAGGCCTTGGGCAATTAGAGAATATCACAAAAACTTGACATTTTTCTAAGAATTCAGCTGCATATAATATTAGAGCAAAGTCAATTCTTTTATTAAGCTACTAGTTCTGGGCAACAATGAAAGTACCAGATTATCTATTTATTGGTTGTTTGAAAAAAAAAAGTCCTCATTTTGGAACACTCTTCCTTCTCAGAGAAAACTCTTTTGATATGTTGAAAGTCTTAAAAAATACAATCTTACTAGTTTATGACAAAGATAGAATTAATGAAAAAGGAATTTTCATTAAGAAATAAAACACTTTGATTCTGTGGTTTTCAGTAAACCAAACAAATTTAAATCATTTTACTGAAATTATTTGCTCCTCATTGCATTCACCTGGCAAGTATAATAAAAGTCAACAGAAATATCTGAAGTTATAAGACATAGTATTTTTAAACTGTGCAATATACTTTAATGTACTTTATTTTACATAAGATTTATAATTTCTACTATATATTATAAAATGTTTTTAATTTTTGAGTAACAATCTTTTAAAAATATGGTAAAAGAGCCTGCAAATATACACATAAAATCACTACACAGATTTTATTTAATGTGAGAGTCTTTAATAACCTCCAAGTAGAAAGGCACTTCAAAGCATGAGCCCAAAGCTAGAGGCCATCATAAAAAAAATTGATAAATTTTACCTCCACACAAATGATTAAAATTCGGCTGAAAAATAAAACAAAATCCCTCTTGAGCAAAGTCAAAAACAATATAGCACGAAAAACTTACTTAAAATGTCTATTTCTGACAGTATGCAACAAAGACAGAATCTTCAAGCACTATGGAAATAGCAGAGTTGAGCTGGGTTCCCTCAGGACCCATGATCACTCTGAATGACACTGGACTGCTAAGTATTCACCACATACTTACCCTGACATGGTTAGGTAGAAAAAGTAAGGGCCTTTTTTTTTTTTTTTTAAGGAAACATCAGGAGATTATAGAAAACTAAAATTTGAAACAACAACTCTCCTGTAGGAGAAGGATCCCTATAATTGATATTTCAGTGATTTTTTTCTAGTTAGTAACTCAGAGACAATTTAATTCTCCATTCTGGGAGCTGGCATTTCTTACTGGATTACTTGCCTAAGTCTATAAAAATTTTAAATGATTCATTTTAAATTCCAGGTAAGTCCTACCAGCATGTTTAGTGAGCAGGGTTAGTCTAGGAATAGGTAGTAACTATAACTGGGGGAAAAAAAAGTCTTCAAGAACAACATGAAAATATGTATCATAGCATATAACAAAGAAAACAAAGTAACAGAAATGTTACCTTTTTTACTAAGATCAATAGCAGCTTCCAAAAGCACTTCTAATTCCCCTTTTGGCAAAACTGGAACCACCCATCTCGGCCTAAAAGTTAAATAAAAAGATGATTCAGGACAAATGAAATACTATACATTAGCGACCTATTGTAATTACTTTCCCTATAAAAAATAATCAAATAAATGTATACCTGACGTTATACTTGGTGTTAAAGCTAGTAAAAAGTGTTTTTCTGAGATTCAGATTAATAAGAAAAATATTGACAATCTTAGTTTGTCAAAAAAAGTAGTTTGCTTTTCCAGGTTATGACCTACACTTAAAAAAAAAACAAAACAATAAATTAAAACAAACTTACCTATTGATCATGTCATCCAACTTTGCTAGATCAGCATGTGGAAATCCTGGTTCCTCGTCTTCATATTGTGATGGAGCATCACCTTGACCTTGTTCATCAGGAGGAGTTGCTATAGAATTCTCATTGGAGGAATCAGGTGAAGTGATCTTTAAAATTAAAAATTTCGTATTTAAATTTTTGTAACATACATGCAATATTTAGAACTTCAGATACCAGCACAGATGAAATAGAAATATAACACATTTTTGGGCCTCCCTAGTGTGTTATGGGGTTAAGGCACAACCTTTGAAAATATCTGCAGCCACTGCAGCATGAGTTCGCTCCCCGGCCAGGGAGTTACAGACCTCTCCTGTCTCGCCTGCTGATCCCCTCAGCAGTGTATTTCAGTCAATCTGCCTGTTCTAATCCCCATTCTGTCTCTGGTGTGTCATCTCAAACCTCCCCCCGCCCCAGCCTGTACCCCAGTTCTTGTATGCATAAAAATATTAAAAAAAACTAAGCATTTTTAACTGCTCATAAATATAATTGTTCATGTGCTGATATCTATACATACATATATATAAAACAAAACTGGACTCACTGCTAATCTTTTTTTTGTGATCAAATTATGAGCATTTCCCACATGATTAATAATCTTAAAAATTAGGCAATAGTGACAATACATTCTAGATTAACCAGGTCAAGATTAAGAAGACAGTAGTTATGTAATGTAACTATTACTAGTAAAATATAGCTATGAATCTTAATTACAAATCTTTATGCAAACTGAAAATGGCAGTGAAACTCTGAGGCAAGGTCATGAAAGTCATCGTATCCTTTTTCCTTCTCTCAGAGTAATCTCAGAAAGTTAAGGCTCATGTTTTAATAACATTTTAGGAGTCTTTTGCAGAACTCCCCTGCGGTGAGGAGCTAAGGTCTTTTGGCAGTGACTGGAGTGAGTCACTGTGGAAACGGATTCCTAAGTACTATCAAGCTCTCATAATGAAGATCAGAGAAAACTCCCATTTCCAGGAGGAGGAACAAAGTGGTCAATTTAAAAAATGCTTTCTGTTCTTTCTATTTTGTTAAGAAGGATATCACTTCCAAAGAAACTATTTTACAAGCTCTTAGCCAACCTAAGACAAGGCAAAAACCTAAACTTTAACCTGTCATCGCATTCTATGGGGAAGAGGGGAAGTAAGAAAGATAGATTCAGCTGATACTCGTAGCCATACTGTTTCTCATCACCAAAGTAATTCCTTTACCTGGTACAAAGGACATAGGAACTTTGTACTTTGTTTAATTATACTATGAATTTAAAAGTATACCACTAAAGAAAAGAAAAAATCTGGCGTAAGTAAATATATAATGGTAGTAGGTAGGCTGAGATCCCTCGTAACAATAACCCTTCATTTCTCCCAAAGGTACAAGTGAGAAGCAGACTTTACTCAAGGTAGAATTACAAGAAATCAAAGAAATATCAATATAAAGATATTGGATCAATCACTCAAAACACCATTAGTTGTATTTGAAAGAATCATTTAGGCTTAAAATATACCTAGCTACAATCCAGCAAATTTCACAAAATGAAACCAACCCAGGTAGAGATTAACAGACCTCTCATCCAGTAATAAAATGAACAGATAACACAATAAAGTATTTAGAACACCTGGAAACAAGAGCAAATTGGAAATAACTGAAAAATAAAGTGAACATAAAGCATAATCCAGTTCACCCCTCCACAACCCCCCAACCCCAATGTTTATGGAATCAAAACTAATCAAATAATGAGCAATATGGTAAACTTACAAAGTCCTAAGAAGTGATAGCATTAAGTGTCTATTCTCTACAGAGAAATTAAGATTACAAGCCAATGGAAAAAAGTTAACCATAAAATTTCCAATGATGTGAAAATTAGCCATTCTTGCTAAAATAATTTTTACATCAAAGTAGAATAAAATAATTTTAAAATAATTAAAATAGTTGTCAATTTATAATCTAAAGCATGTTTTAGGAAACAGAAAAAATAAAGGCTGAAAAATCAGCTAATTACCATATCAAGAAATTACAACAACAAATTGAAAGCAAAGTAATGAATAAATAAAAGAACTTTTAAATAGAATAAAAAGTCAGAGCCAATACTTTCCAAAACTCTGACATTTAATGAAATTGATTAAACTCCACTCCCTCAGTCTGGTACAAAGATGGACTCTAAACATAAACAACTGAATCTATGCTCACAATTTATTTAATGTGTCTGTCCCTGCATTCAAATGATGGTTTATAATTCAAACAGTCATCTACACAAAAAAAGTAGGCATATATTCATAAGCACGCACAAGTTGGAAAGTTTCCCACAGCTAAGAGCCTCAATGTTTAATTCCTGAATGTAACTTAAATGTGACAACAGCTTTTATAATTACTTTATAAAGTATTCAGGACATGAAGTATTACTCAGTAATCCTCAGCACCTGAAAACAATAGGTTTTTCATCAGTGTCCTACCTGATTTTGTTGGAAGGGGGACTGAGGCTGTCCATCAGGAGCGTGGCCCTGGCTGTCAGTCCCTCCTACAGGAGAGCCACGAGTTGTGGCTGTCATACTCAACAAAGAATGGATCTTTGCTATTGTGCCTGTTTACGTAGTTATGATAAGAGAAAAAATTATAGTCCACTTATAGGGAATGAAATACCAGCATATGTCGACCTTAAAAATCTCCAATTCAAGTACAGACCATCTTGCAGAGACCATTTCATAACCTAAAAAGGGGAGGAAAAAGACATATTTGTTTTAAATATTTTTTAAAAATGAATCGTTTCTATTTAAAAGGTAGGATAGCATCAACAGTCTTCACAACCAAAATGATGGCTATATCAAAGTGAAAAGTTAAATTTGACAAGTAACTATTATTAGTAAACTTGTATTTTCCCAATATTAAAAGACAAACTACAATCTTATTATAATATATGCTAGAAGTTCTGAGGTTCTTAGTTATCATTTGTGGTTTCCAGAGCACCTGTAAAATGCCTATCAATTGCAGTCTAACACTATGAAAATACAAATGCACCAGTAAATGAATATATCAGTAAAATGTAGGCTACTCTTTAATAGAAGATGAAACTCTAATATAAAGTTCAAAAGTAATAGTGATACTATGAGGATAGGTTGGAGAGAAAACACTAAAAAGAAAAACCCTTAAAACATAATTCTTATTAGTAACATACAGCTCCCATATGGTTTTCACCTTTAGATCAGTCTCCAGTTTTTGTTTGCTAGCATATATTCTCATTCAAAAAACTTTATATGAAGCATATGATTTAAAAATTTTTGACAGTTTTTAATCTGCTAACAAAAACTACTTAAAAATCTCCCTATAACTAAAATAAAATCAGCTGCAAATTCAATTTCATTCATTACTATACGGAGTTTATTCCAAGTTTTACTAGTTCTTTTACTTGAGCTTTACTCCCATTGCATATGACCCACATCAGAAGTACCACCTCATCCTCTCAATTACTTTGTGGATCCAATACTCTTAGTCTTATAGGTATGCTTTAATCTCTCCTATTGAAAATGATCACTATCAGTTCTCCAGGAAATTCCTGAAAGAAGTTCCTTTTTCTTATCAACATGGTTGATAAGACCACGTTGACAACATGGTTTTGGGTTTAGGCAGGTCTATTCCCAGTTTCTCTTATATAGTGTCCCATGCCGGATGAAACTGCAGCCCCAAAAACATAGGCTTCTGTACCCACTGGCTTGGTGTACTGAACTGGGCTGCAGGGAGGAGGTTGTGTGAGCTGCTTTTGTCAGGATAGTCTTGAAAAAAGTTGCTCCATAGATGGCTCTGGAAATCAAACAATTTCTCTAAAACTACATGCAAGAATATCTATATAGGTATGTTGTGACGATGGGTTAAGAGTGAGAAAATCCAGTCTGGGATCAAGACCATTGTATTTCATGTTAAGTCACTGTAAATGGTTAAAACAGATATTGTAATATGTGTTTCTCATGAATTAGAAACCTGATTTTTTTCTTTTTGAAACCTGATGTTTTAAGAAGTGATTTGACTAAACCATAAGTAGTAAAATACAAAAGTCTATGGGTAGAACTAATCGCATCTTACTGCCTACTAAAATACTACATTCTTTGCAGGGGAAGGTATCTATCTATCTATGTATCTATGTATCTATCTATCTATTTACTTTCTTGATTAAAACAAGCAAGGGGAAAAAAAAAGGGACACCCAACTCAGAAAGTAGGTAGTATAACTGTGTTGGAGATGACATGATTTTACATGTAGAAAGAAACACTAAAGACCTGAATCATTTTTTAAAGTTAAAATAGAAATGTCCATAATTATTTTAAATTATGACATAAAAATAAACCATTAAAATGCAAAACATCTTTCAACTTGGAAAATAGCTCCAAGATACTATTATAATACATCAATTCCTAAAAGGTTATGTGCACCTTATATACTAAGTGAACAATCCAAAACATAAATTAATAAAATAATTATTCACAATTTCATAAAAATACTTTAGAAATAAATCTAGCCAAGGAGGTAAAAGACTTTTACAAACAAATTTCAAAAACATTTCTGAAAGAAATTATGTAAGACATAAAGGTAAAGAGGCTATTCTCCTTTACAGTATGCTTATTCTTCATCAGGATATTTGTGGGATTTGTGTATAAGTAACTTACACATTCATTCTTCATTTCAACTCAGATACCTACAAGAAAATTCATGTCTACACAAAAATGTACACACAAATGTTTATGGTAGTTTTATTTATATTTGTCAACAATAAGCAACCAAAATGTCCCTCAACAGGTGAACATACTCTGGTATATTCCTATGAAATAGAGATGAAAAGAAAATGAGCTATCAAATCTTAAATATATATTTTAAAGAAAGGTATTTAAGAAAATTCCAACGCGTACTGCTGAATTAAAAAAAATCATGAGATCCTGTGTGATTTTTCTGCAAACTAAAACTGCTCTAGAAAATAAGCTATTAAAATGTAAAACATGTTTCTACTTGGGAAATAGTTACTTGTCATTTGTTAATATATAGCTGATTTTGTACCTTTTTTCAAATGAAATAGTAAATAATTTAAAATACAGAAATTTTAGTTAAAATATGGTAAATATCAAGAGGTAACATGGATCGTCTCAAAACTTTGTTTTACAGGGGTTTTGAGAAGAAATTTGTAAACTGCTTTTCAAAAAACACAGTGAAAAGTAAACTTATGCTAAGTACCTTACTGTAAGAAAAAAAATTAACATAAAATTTACCAAACTTTTATCACTGCATATCTCTACTCTTTCAGAGAAAAAATTAAAATGCTCTTTAAGGTATTCTTTAGCAGGTTACCATTAATTTTTAGCAAGTTTAATATCCTTAAAATTTAACAAGGATATCCTTAATAAAGCAGTTAGCAACAAAATAGCTAACAATTGCACTAATACAATGAAGCAGTACTACCAAGACATCCACATAGTAAAAAATTGGATCTTTCTGCAAACAATTAAGTGAATGATATGTATGTGCATATGTAAGTCCTACTCAACCTTCAGATATATCACCACCATTCATAATTGGTACGGAGTGCATTACTAAGAGATCTTGAACCAGCTAAGTCACTCCCAATTACTGACACCAGAAACTAAACAATTAAATTCAGTGTTTTAAGTAGCCAAGTTTTGTGATATATATCTTACTTTTAAGTTTAGTATTCCAGTGAGACAGAAAAAAGTCTCAAAGTAGCAACTCTACCAAACCACAGCAATTAATGAGAAAATGCCCACTTCACTGTTTAAAAATATTTTTCCTTCAAGATAGCACTTAAATCCTTATAAATTTATCTTTTTTTGTAGACTCATCTCCGAAAATTCCCTCATTCTAATTATCCACTGTCCCTTCTACATTCTACTATATTTCCTCTAAATATACATTTTCACTCCTAAATCTAATTTCGCCTTTTAAAGTCCTTAACCTAATTAATGGACTCACCAAAACCTATAGTTTTAATGACCATACAAATAATCTCAAACTGGAGATATCTTCTGCCTTTGCTCTATTACTTTACTTCTTACTTTTCTATTTTAATATAGTATTGACCACTAATAAATACCTCCCTGGATCACAAGGTCTAGAGACTCAAATGTGCATACAAGCTATGCATCTTTCCGTAACTCTTATATTAAATGAATGATTATAATTCAAAAGTTACAATTAAGACAAAATAATAATCATTTCACTCAAGTCTCTCTCTGTAATATCAGAGAGTTTAAATAATTTGTTCACTAGTTAGCAGAAGAGCTAGAATTATTTCCAAGTCTCTTAACTGACAGGATTCTGTCAATAAAAACATTCACAGGAATTTAAAAACTAAAAAACAAATTTTAAAGTTCAAATAGTAAAATGAAACATCCAGAATTCTCATAAAACATAACGTAACAAGGGAGAAACTCCCACAGGTATCAAAATTGCTATACAATTACTATCATTAACAGAATGTTAGGTACATGAACATGGATAAGTCAACAAAATAATCAAAAATTATATTTGAAAATAAAATTAAAAATAACATAGCATACAGTAAAGAATGTATCTCAATGGGAAACGTATGACACTTGATAGTCTCAATGACACTGCATAAAATAATACTGGCTATTTATCTGACTGATTAGAATTTCAGATGAATTAAAATTATAAGTATATGAAAAAAGAAAAATATAAAATTTTCAAGTTAAGGGGGTAGCATTTGGTTATAAATCTGGAGGACAGGTTCTCTTTTCTCGTCTCAAAAGCCATAGGTCATAAAAAAATCCCCTAAAATTGGCGACACAGAAAAATGTGTTAACATTTTTGACCTAGTTAAGAAATCTAAATTAAAAAATTTAATTGGTTAGATATACAATAGTTATCTTAGAAAAGAGTGACTTTCCTTTTAATAAAGTCTTCAGAAGTCACCAAAACAAACCAGTAGAATAATGGGATATTGGGAATGAAGTTCACAAAATACTTAACATCTTTAAGTATACAAAGATGACGTTTAAGTAATAAGGAAGTTTCAAATTAAAACTGTAATACACCATAAGATTTTTAAAAAAACAAAAAGGAGGGCCTCCCCAATGGCGGAGCACAGTGCTATGAAACTGTCAGCAGCCTCTGCAGCACATGTTCGATTCCAGTCCAGCAAGGGAGATTCTCACATGGCACAGCAGACCTCTCCTGTCACGCCTGCTGCTCCCCTCAGCAGTGTATTTCAGTCAGTCTGCCTGTTCTGCTCCCTACTCTGTTCTCTGGTGGATTCTCTTGCCCTCCCGCACCTCTGGCCTGTAACCCAGCTACTGCATAAATAAAAAATAAATCTTAAAAAAAAAAATAAAAAAGGAACATACTGTTCTGTTGGTGAGGCAACCAGCAGACTTTTACATGTTGTTAGCAGGAAAATAATTTGGTGTTACTTATGGAAAACAAATGATAATAGATAAGAAAATGAAAAATTCAACAGCCCTCAGGGAAAAAAGGCATTCTAGAAAAATCCCTGGATAACAAGTAACAGCACCTTTTCATTTTCTATTAATCATTTGATAATTTCAGTTCAATTCCTTTTTCATTTACTTAAAATTACACTTATTAACAAATGCTAATGTAGGAATAATTTCAATTTTATAATAACATAACAGGGTAATCCCAAGGGAAAGGGGAAGTTCCAGGTTCCCTGCCCCACCCAAGGGAGGTAGA